ACAACTCCCAAGCTCTTTCACAAAGCCAGTATTATCCTAAATTCCAAACCCAGGTAAAGACATAACAAAGAATGAAAATTATAGGCCAATATCCCTGATGAACACAGATGCTAAAACCCGCAACAAAATATTAGCAAACCAGATTCAACTATACATTAAAAAGATCATATGCCATGATCAAGTAGGATTTATCCCAGGGATGCAAGGTTAGTACTACATTCCCGTCAATAAATGTGATACATTATATAAACAAAATGAAGGGTAAAAATCAAAATGAATGGTCGTATCAATAGATGTGGAATAAGAATTCGATAAAATCCAGCCCCCATTAAGATAAAAACTCCCAGCAAAGTGGGCATAGGGAGAACATACCTCAACATAATAAAGGCCAAATACAAAAAACCTACAGCCAACACCATCCTCAATGGACAAAAACTAATAGCATTTCCCTTGAGTAAGAGTGATACCCTCTTTCACCACTCTTATTCAACATACTACTCGAAGTCCTCGCCACAGCAATGAAACAAGAAGAAATAAAAGGCAAACAAATTGAAAAGGAGAAAATACAACTGTCATTCACAGATGACAGGATATTGTACATAAAAACCCTAGAGACTCCACCTAAAAACTACTAGACCTATTAAATGATTTTGGTAAAGTAGCGTGACACAAAATCAACACTCAAGAAGTTAACAGTATTTTTAGATAGCAATAATCAACCATCAGAAAGAGAAGCTAAGAAAACAATTCCATTTACTACTGCAACAACAACAACAAAAAATAAAGTACCTAGGATTAAATTTAACCAAGGAGGTAAAAGACCTATACTCCAAAAATTATAGGACAAGTGAAGAAAGAAACTGAAGAAGATACAAATAAGTGGAAATATATACTGTGTTCATGCATTAGAAGACTTAACATCATTAAAATGTCCAGACTATTCAAAGAAATCTTTATATTTAATGCAATTCCTGTTAAAATCCAATGGCATATTTCACAGATCTAGAGCAAATATTTCAAAAATTTATATGGAACCAAAAATTTATATGTAGGTTTTAAATTTATATGGAATAGCCTCAATAATCTTGAGAAAAAAGAACAAAGTTGGAAGGATCACAATTCTTAATACCAAACTATAAGGCCCCATAAGCAAAACAGCCTGGTGCTGGCATAAGAACAGACATACAGATCAATGGAAGAAAACAGAGAGCCCAGAAATAAACCCACACCTTTATGGTGAATTAATATTTGACAAAGGAGGCAACAGCATACAGTGGAGTAAAGACAGACTCTTCAACAAATGCTGTTGGGAAAACTGTACTGGTACATGCCAAAAAAAAAAAAAAAACCAACCCAAAGAAACAAAACCAGAAAGAAAGAAACTAGACCACCAGCTTACACTACACACCAGAATAAATTCAAAATGGATAAAAGTTTTAAATATAAGCCATGATAGCATAAAAACCCTAGAGGAGAACATAAGTAGTAAAATTTCAGACATCTCATGTAGTAGTATTTTTGCCTATGTATCTCCTAGGGCCAAGAAAACAAAGGAAAAAATAAACAAATGGGAATGCATCAAACTAAAAAGCTTCTGCACAGCTAATGAAGCCATCATCAAAATGAAAAGGGAACCCACTATATGGGAGAACATATTTGCCAATGATACATTGGATAAGGGTTTAATTTCCAAAATATATGAAGAACTTATACAACACACCACCAGGAACAAATGGCCCAATTACAAAATGGGCAAAGGACACCTCAATAGACACTTCTCCAAGGAGGACATACACATGGCCAATAGACATATGAAAAATGCTCACTGTCAGCAGCCATCAGAGAGATGTAAAATAAAACCACCAGATCACACCACACCCGCCAAAATGGCTACCATTAATATATCAACAAAAAAAGCGCTGGTGAGGACATGGGGAAAAGGTAACCTTAGTGCACTGTTGCTGGGAATGCAGACTGGTACAGCCACTGTGGAAAACAGTATGGAATTTCCTAAAAAAATTAAAAATGGAACTGTCTTTTGACTCAGTGATTCCACATCTGGGAATATATCCTAAGAATCCTGAAACACCAGTTCAAAAGAATACATGCATCCCCTATGTTCCTAGCAGCATTATTTATAATACCCAAGATCGGCAAACAGCCTAAGTGCCCATCAGTAGGTGAGTAGATAAAAAAAGCTGTGGTACAATTACACAATGGAATACTACTGAGCCGTAAAAAACAAGAAACCCTTACCTTTTGCAACAGCATGGATGGACCTGGAGACTGTTATGTTAAGTGAAATAAACCAGTCAGTGAAAGACAAATGCTGTATGATCTCTTATATGTGGATATCAACAAAATAAACTAACCAACAAAACAATCAGAGGCAGCTGTTAAGAGGGGAGGGGGAGGGGGACTGACTGAAAGGAGGTGAAGGGATTATGCAAAGAACATATATGCATTGCATGACCATGGACATGGACAACAGTGTAGGGATTGCCTGAGGGATTGGGAACCAGGTAGAGTGGGACCATAGGGAAAAATTGGGAAAACTGTTAATAGTAAAATAAACAATAAAATATTTTAAAAAGAAATACTGTACTTCGAGTTAAATCACTCCAAAATTTTTAAGACTAAAAACTGTGAGCTATTCACAATCAAGGTCAGAACAAGCCTTCAGGCAATGATAGAAAGTAATGTGTTAAATAAAATGACTTCTAATAAGGTATCCAGTCCACAACCACAGTTATCAAAGACTGGTGTGAAAATATTACAGAGAAATTACAGTTGTAGTATTTAAAAGATTACAGTGATACCACATTAATGTGAGACACCAAGACATCTGTTGCTATTTTCTAGTTTTAAAAACATTTAGAGCCAGAAGGGGTTAGAAGTTAAGTCACAGGGAAAGTGCGATTGAAAATTTTAAGACTGGTATAATGAACTTTTAAGTAAAATGTAAAATCAAAACTGGTTATGTATTACAGGTATTTAAAAATTACAGTAGTGAATTAAAGTTCCTTGTGATTTGCAATTTAAATGTGCTCTACTAAAATGAACCATGGGGCCTAAAAGAAGCCCCACAGCTTAGAGTAACACTCAGTCTTACAATTCCCTGATATATCCCTGTCTCTACAACAGAAAATAAAAAAGTGTGGTGAACCAAAATGACAGTGTTCTCCTAAAAGGTATCTATAACTCAGGTCTTCTACCATCCAACCACCTATCCCTTCCCAACCACTCAAGGCCTCACCAGATTATGTCTTAAATCTATAAGGGCTAACCTGATTTATGACATTACCCCTTTCTAAATCAGTTGATGAGAGGTGATCAGATTCTGAAACTTGGAAAACACGAAAGTAAAAGGCAAAGTATGCACACATACATGTGTGAGAATGTAAATATATGGAACTCGTCATGGAATAATACTGAACTCTGGTTCTGTGAAATGTATCCTGAGATGAGGATTGCAAATGTTCAGGGAAACAGACTGTGATTAAATTATATTCATGTTATTAGCCTGTAAAATATGAACCAAAGGAGTCAAATGACACTCACTAGAGACACTGGCTGATTTTAATAGATCAAGAGAACAAAAGGAAATTCCAGGAAAAGACTCAATTTCATATAAATATTTAGTACATAAGAAGAAAAGATTCCAAATCCACAGGGAAAAGACTGAAATTACCAATAATGGTACTAGGAAAACTGGTTAGTAATTTGGGGAAAAGTATCTTATACAAAATAAAACAAAATTTAGATGGATTGTTCTAAAAAGTTCCATAAAAATTAAAATAATCTAAAAGGCTTGAAGAAAAATTTTTAAAAGTCTTTCTCTACCTTTAGGAAGAGAAAGACTTTGCTGAGCATAAAAACATAGGGAAGGGGCAAGCCAAGGAACACAAATAGAGGACTCACGGGCAGATAAAGGAGGCATACTGACTGTGGGAGTTGGGGGCGGGGGGAAGGGCAGAGGAGAGCAATGGGGAAAAAGGTGGGACAACTGTAACTGAACAATAAATAAAAAACAAACAAACAAAAAAAACAGTAAAACATCAGAAAGGAAAAAGACAGGTTTAGCTTTCAAATTTATAATACTTCTACATAACTTTAAAACCATTAAAATGTATTCATTCAGAGTCTAATCACCTCTTTCCACCCTCCATGTTACCCCTCTCTCTCTCTAGAGTGCTTCAATAACCTTGTAATGGTCTCCCTGCTGTCATTCTTGACTCTCTACATTACAGTCTACTATCTATAAAAAAGTAGCCTGAGATCCTTAAAAAAACCTCAGTCAGATAATGTTATATCTAGGTTCAGAACCTCCAATGGCTCACTTTTCACTCAAACTAAAAAACAAAGTCCTTCCACTGGCTTACACAGCCCTACACATTTTGGCCCCTCATCTGGCCTCATATTCTACGGCACTCCCCACCCCCACCCTTGCTTACTCTGTCCCAGCCACCCAGTCAATGTCTCCATTTATTTTTTATATTAACCATGTGATAATAATCTTGATAATATTCAACATTTATGAAATAATATTTACTATGAACCAGACATTGTTCTAATTGCTTTATATATATTATCTCATTCAATTCCAATAATTATTTCTCTCACTTTAGAGCTGGTGAAACCGAGTTACAAAGAGGTCGATTAACTGTCTATCCTTAGAGCTCAGTCAGTAAGTGGTAAAGCCAGAATTCAATTATCACAGGTGAATGAAACCTACATCACAGTCCAAATTCTAACTTCAATGATGTTTCCCACTAGCTATCTTTACTTAAAACGTTCTTCACAGCCAAGTATAGTATAGACAGAAAAGTAGAATAAGGACTAAGAAATGGAAATGCCAAAGTTCATTTCCCGATAGGGTTAGACAGGTTGGAAAAGTCAGAAGGAACTGTAACACTGGGAGTGAAAATACTTCTTAAAGGTAAAAGGTCAGTGCATAATTGGTTATTATATAAAACTAAATAATAGTACATAAAACTTACTTTTTCTGTAGTTACAGTCAAGGAAGGAACCAACGCAGGTGATGGCTCTGGCTGCTTCTTGTGTTTTTGCTTATGTTTGTCCTTTTCTTTATATTTCTAAAAATGAATACAAGTAAAATCCAATTTAAATCATGACACACATACATACACACTAAAGATGAGATTTTAATAATTGTGTTTGGTATCATAATCATAGTAATGCATATATACTACTAGAAATATACTTACATTATAGCATTACTATATATAATGAAATATATAATAATACTAGTATAAGTTATTTTAAAGTGACTTCAGCTTCCTTATCCTTGAACAACATAAAATAATATATAAACTACTGAAGCCTAAAATTATTTGCTACATTTATATCTGGCAAACTATATGTTTTTTCTCATTAATAACTATTTTTATGTATACTTTATATGTGGAAATTTAAAATTTACATAACACTTGGATATACATGTTCAAAATAGTGTCAGATTCTCCATCAACATGCCTTAAATTCTATGGCCCACAAACCAGAAACCAGGGAAAAAATTCCTCCTAGGTTTATTCAGAAAATAGATGATTTAGTTATCACGAACAAAATTATTTTAAAGTTTTGATGTGCTACTTTATTATGAAGTCCTAAAACTGATTAACTGAATTTAAGAAAATTTACAAATAAATAAGAAATTAATTACATATAAGCAGCCTAACTTCAGTTCAGAAACTGAACTGAATGTCAGAAAATTCTAACCAAACTGTTCTCAATTGTTTGAATCAGTAGCTAAGAATCTGTATTGGGGGTGTGAAGTTTACTACTATTTAAAAGAGTTAATTAAACTTATTTCTCATAGTACTTAAAACTAACCATTTAGAGAACTAAAAAAATCTGTTCAAAGAATGAAAGATTAATATCACTGGCCATGTCATAAGAGATTACATACCAACAAAATAAAAAGCATAAAAATTAAAGATAGATATTTTACTATAATACCCAAGCACCATCACTTTCTGCCTTTAATTCCTGATGTAATTACATATTTCTTGACTGCAATGTTAATACTTTAGCAACTGAGAATGTAACATACCACAAGCAGTTTTTATTCAGTTTTTTAAGAGAAATTTTCTTACTCTAAAGTTATTTTTAATTGTGACAAATCATAATAATGACCACCAAGGAATCATGCCTCCATTTCTTTGTACTAGGATGCCACTACTCCTCCCATCATAAGACGTCCTCTTCTCCATTCCCATGAAGCCGGGTCAGTCTTGTGACTTGCTTTAGCCAAGAGGATGTCGCAGAAGTGATGCTATGCAAGTTCAGGAGCCCAGAGCTTTAAGAAGTCTTGAGTGGCTTCCATTTTTGTTCCCTTGGATGCCAGCCAACATGTAAAGAATCAGTTCACACTCTCCTGACAGGCCAAGTAAAGAATAAAGCTCTACATTCTGAGGCACGCCAGCCTATAACCAGTACCATCTAGGCCCAGAAACAAGAATAAGATGATCTAGAACCATCTAACCAGCCACCAGCTGAATACAGCCTCATGAATAAGTTTAGCTGATACTATGCGGAAGAAAGATTAATTGTTCCTGCTGTGCCCTGCCTCAAGCCACTAAAAGTTGTGGGATGGTTTATCAAGCAACAGTAAATAAGCAAAACAAGACTAGAATTCACAACTGGCAAGTGGGTCATGGGACTTAAAGAAAGTACAAATTAGCTCTAGCTGGTGTGGCTCAGTGGATTGAGTGCCAGCCTGTAAACTAAAGGTTGCTGGTTCGATTCCCAATGTAGGGCACATGCCTGGGTTGCAGGCCAGGTCCCCAGCAGGGGACACGTGAGATGCAACCACACGCAGATGTTTCTCTCCATCTCTTTCTCCCTCCCTTCCCCTCTTTAAAAATAAATAAATAAAATGCTTTTTTTTAAAAAAGTACAAATTAAAAGTAACACACATTAGGGGGGTTTTTTGTATACACCAAAATAAAGATAATTATACAATCTAATTTATAAACATGACGTTCAAATGATCCTAATCTATTAGTTCTATAACATTTTTCTCCAAAAAAGATAAATAAAGGGGCTTTTCTTTTTGCATATTCTACTCCCCATACTGGGCTTTATTCAGAAAGAGTACAAGAGCTGGGATAATTTAATAGTGAATGACCCCAATTAATAAGGTGAACAAACTCTAAAAACCTGGAAAACTTGGAAAGTAAAAGGCAAAGTATGCACACATACATGTGTGAGAATGTAAATATATGGAACTTGTCATGGAATAATACCAAACTCTGGTCCTGTATATATCAAGAAATGTATCCTGAGATAAGGACTGCAAATGTCCGGGAAATAGACTGTGAATAAATTATATACATATTATTAGCCTGTAAAATATGAATCAAAGCAATCTAATGACATTCACTAACATCACTGGCTGATTTTAATATATCAACAGAACAAAAGGAAATTCCACTTAAAGGCTCAATTTTATATAAGTATTTAGTACATGACAAAGAAGGGATTCCAAATCCACAGAGAAAGACTGAAATTACTTAACAATGGTACTAGAAAAACTGGTTAGTAATTTGGGAAAAGTATCTTATACAAAAATAAAACAAAATCTAGATGGATTATTTTAAAGAGTTACTTAAAAATTAAAATAATGTAAGAAGACAAGGAAAAAAAATGAAAGTCTTTAAGAAAAGGAAGACTTCTGTTTTTTCTAAAGTAAAAAAATCAGAAAGGGAAAAGGCAGGTGTGTGGATTCAGAATGAGTCTGCCCAAGATGTATGTGCCTCTGGTACTTGGACTGTTTTGAGCTCAAGGCAACTTTAGCCTCTGGCTCAAGAGAAACTTCTGCCCCTCCCTTAATTACCAGAAGAACGTGAATTAGGAGCCTTATCTCTAATAGATTATCAGAGATAACCTCTTTTGACCTAAAAGACATGGTAAACTTCTATTTATTAATCATCTGCTCTTCTTATTACCCTGCAATGATCATTCCCTTTGAAGACTCCAAGGCACCTTACCTCATGCCTGGCTCAGTATGTCTTATACACCCACGGGTCCCTTTTGTATCTTTGCGCCTCTCATTCATGTGAAGTCTACGACTCTCTCAAGTATAAGTGGTTGCCATATATATGTATGCATTAAACTTGGCCATTTTTTTTTTGCTAATCTGTCTCATATCTATTTGATTATTAGACCAGACAAAAAACCTTGAAAGCCAATGGAAGTTTGCTCCTCCCCCACATAGGTTTAGTCAAGAAATTACCTATATTATAGTACAGTAACTATCTACAGAGTCTTCCAAGCATAAGCAAGATGATAAAAACTTGCATGACAAAGAGACTCTTCCCCCAAAATAAACAATATAAAAACATAATATGCAAAAGCTAAACAAAAATCTCAACCTAGCATAAAGATCTCTCTCAAAACTGCCTGTGCTGAATAAAACTTAATTTAAACATAAGTCCAAACAAAGCTTAAGAACAAGATATTAAACAGAAAAAGGTTTTTAAAAAATCCCCAAGGAAATGCAGAACCAAAGTAATTTAAAAGCCAAGACAGAATTAATACATAAAATGGAAAACAGCAAGGGAAAAAATAAACATTGTTAAAAATTAAAATACTGCTAAAACACAGGTATAAAATAATCACAGTGATACAAATGAAAAAACAGCAGACATTAAAGCAATTAGGGAGGAACTAGAGAAAACCAAGATGATCAAACATTAGGATAACTTGTTTCCCTAAAGTAGGAAATTTAATGAATGAGGAACAGAAGATATATTCAAACTTTGTAATAGGCCACAAAATAAAAGTTGAAAAAAACGCACTCCAAAAAATACTGTTATAAAATGTGTAACAGTAAGACTTAATTGGAATTAAACTTAATAAAATGCAAAAATGTGTGTGTAACGCAGCGCAGGTGGGGCAGGACTGCCTTTAGTCTTCTCCATAGCAATATTCCAGGCCCACTGTTTTAATTCTTAGGGGGTGGAAAATGTGTGACTCAATGATATTATATATTGCCAAGCCACAGCTGAAAAATTAAGGCAAGAAGGAAACACTTTCCATTATAAACAAAAACTCAGAGAATACAAGTCCCAAGAACTTATTCTTGAAACAAGTTACTTGAAGATAGCAACCTAACCAATTTAACAGAGAATATGAAGAACTTACTGAAGATGTGGTAAAAGGACTGGTAGTAACAGTGACCATCTAACAAATTTAAATTAAATACAAATCAAATACCTAATTAACTCTGAGGATTATGTTTACACAAGATATTGTCACAAACATATAAATGTCTTTCAAAACAAACTAGATAGCAGGGAATGAGAGGAGCATGAGCTCAACATAGATTTTGAAGCATGAAGTCAAAACATAATAGTTTGCCACCAAAAAGTAATAACACACAGATCCCTTCCTTGTAGACAAAGTCCTTGGTTTTCTTTAGCTAATCACTCTCTCATATCCTCATAAAAGCGGCCCCATACTCCAGCCCAGAGTTGAACAAGAGTGTATCTAAGTCAATTAAGATAAATCTATTCTCTTTGGCCACTGACTGTTTTAGGTCTGGGACAGATTTAGATCAGGATAATAAAAGAGAAAGGAAACTTTTCTGTTTTCTCTTTTAAAACGGTACTCCATTCCTGCCATTAGATGATTAAGAGTAGGTTATAACCCTTCAAATGACTACAGTGACGTGGCAACCATGCCTAGAAAAGCCAACAGGGCCATGAAAACAAAACAAGCAAAAAACAATGCCTTACCATAGTTGAATTGGCCAATATTAGAAAAACCTAGCCTCTGAACTTCTTGTTCAAAAGTGTCAATTGTGCCTATTGCTTTAACAATGTTCTGTAACAGCTAAGAGCATCAAAACTGTAAGACATGCCCTGACCGGTGTGGCTCAGTGGATTGGGTGTCAGGGGCCGATTTGATTCCCAGTCAGGGTACATTCCTGGGTTGAGGGCCTGAGGGTCATTCTCAACTGATGTTTCTGGCAACCAATTCATGTTTCCCTCCTACTCTTTCTCCCTCCCTTTCTGCTCTCTAAAAATAAATGAATACAATTTAAAAAAAAAATAAACTGGAAAGACAGACT